TCAACACAGTTTAACATATTCCGGGGATTAAGGCATTCTCGTTGTCCATAACCTGGATTTCAGACCCGCCTGGATGGAACAAGTAGATATGTTTATAATCCATATAGATATCCAAAGAGGAAAGAAAATGTTTCGTTTCTGGATTAAATGGAGGAACGTATCTATTGAGTTGTCAACTATTAACCCCCCATGTGCATGTTTCTCGATGTACAATATATGGTAATATAATTATAAGCTGTAAACTGCACAGGGTATTATGTTGTGGGTGAGCAGGTGATTATTCGCAGGAGGAATCCCTTTTCTTTCTAGCCATACGCATTTCAACACTTCCTCTTCACCCAAAATAATCGTCTACACAGCAATGTCGAGTTGGATCCCATTGTCGATACATGGCGTGGTGGTTCATGGATTCGAATCCACATTGCTATCAACGCATGTAATTATATTGTTAAATATCAACGAAACATCAATTGAACAAGAAATGAAAAGTGGCGCGTTGCAGCTTGAATTGGTAATTACAGTTGCCAGATTGCTGTGCATTCCCCGGACACCCCACTGATGATGAATGACATAGGGATTACGCAAACTCCAGGCTCACCGTACTTCTATGGGGTGGATCTAACGGTGAAATTATACTAATGAGCAACCAAGAGAGTAAGCTAGTGTCTTGGGTTTCAGCAACTGCACAGGATGCACTATCACAGGATGTCCCAAGAGCAAAACATACACTTATGAAGCTTATTAACTTATAATGTTTAAGCATCAATATCGTAAAGCTTCCCTGCGTTCCCTGGATAAAAAACCCATCAATGTCAATATCGTTACGTCTTTGGCGATCAAGTATGTACATTCTGCAAAAGGTGTAGTTTGTGCTGGTCAAGGTCAGCTGTCTGCACATTTCAGCAGCGGTTATTGAAAATAAATGTTTGTATATATATTTTTTCTTTCATCGATGAAGAAAAGTTGGCCAACTATACTGTTAACTATCCTTATTAATGTTACATCAGTTTTCTAGGTGTACGCTCTCCCAGAGATCGTTTGTCCTCAAAATGATCATCATCAAAATAAAAGTTAAACAATTTGGTGTAAGCTTACTGTTTTTACATAACTTTAATCCAACCATAAGCAGTTTCATCCCGACAGATTTTGCGACATCACATTGGTAGGATGAAATTGCTGACATTCAGGGCCTCGTTCAACAAAGACATCTTGTCCCTCTGGTTGTCGTAGGTCTATCTTAGAGATAGCTACGACTGTTATAGAGCTACAATCACTTTGCGATATGGGGACTAAGCTTTTTGAAGTCTATCCCCAATACAGAAGATATATGATTAACAAGTATGATCTTGCAATCTATCTCAGCTACTGTTTGAGCATGCCATGGTGCTTCATCCTCGTCTCCAATATATTAGACGTTAACGTCACCAACAAGTCTAGATCAGTGCTGGAGCGAAAGTACAACAACAAACCCAACTCCCGTGAGGCTTGTCGCATTGAAAGTCTCATCCACTATATTCTAGAGAAGTGCTCATACCGTGACATTTATATGCCTGGAAATCCACGATATGCTCGCCATTGCAAATCAGTGTTTGATTCCAGCAATATCTCAATATCAATAAACTCGTGGAGAATGTGAACACTGTTTTCACCTCTGCAAGCCCTTCAGTGTATGGTCCTAGAAATAATTCGGTACAATCAACACGTGGAGAATGTAAGTCCTTTTGTCCACAAACCTGCTCCTACACCACGTTCAATGTCCGCTCATCATCCAGCCTGAGGATGACACAAGAATATCTCTCCACGCTAGCAAGCGCCACCAACAAGACACCGGATTACTGGAGAAGTAACTACGTGGCTGTAGACGTCTACTTGACGTTGATGACATAACAGAGAATTGAGAAGCGATACGGGTATTCGGTCCTTGAACTTATCTGTGACACAGGGGATGCCAGCGTTGTTACTGCAGTGGAGATCATGAAGTTCGCTTTACAGAGCGTCCATGCTTACTGGTGCTACAGTAGCAGAAGAATAGACGTCAAACCAGCGTCAATAACTTTACCCATGATCAGTAACGATAACATTATAACTTCTTGAAAGTTGCCCAACCTATAAATCATTTGCCTGTTGACCTTTATTGCATTTTTTTAAAAATCAACGTGGATTAAAACACAACGGATAAAAGCAAATGTTCGGGTACTCGTCTGTTTAGAGAATCTACTATCAGGAGGACTCTGGTGTAACCCAGGCAACGCTGGATGTAATGATGCCTCAGGAACTTGTATATTTACATTTAGAATTATATTATTCAAACAACAAATTTAATCATTAAATCAAATCGTCATTTTTTAAAATATAAGCCCGAAATCATGGGCATGTGTATATATGATTTATGGGACGCTTCATCTCGGTTTCAGTGCATCGCTAGAGCCCCATTGAGCGATTAGAATACATGTAGATGTTGATTTACGTTGGAATATTAAGGTGAACATTACTAGACAGAATGTATCGGATGTATAGTATGAGAATACTATTCAGTCATGGGTAAATTCTTGTATTCAGGACCCGTGAAGTTCCGGGGTTGAATAGATCTTCAGCAACCCATGCTTGCCGTAAAAGGCGACTTTGCTTGTCGTAAAAGGCGACTAACGGGATCGGGTGGTCAGGCTCACTGACTTGGTAGATGCATGTCAATTGCGTGGATCGATGCTCATGATATCAATCACCGGATTGTCTGGTCCTGACTCGATTATTTACAGACCGCCGTCATATAGCTGGAATATTGCTGAGTTCGGCGTTAAACAACAAACAAAACAAAAAAGTGTATTCAGATTATGACCGTGATGTGTCCAAATCAGACATTTTATACCACGTTGATCGTCTGTCCGTCGTGCATCTGTATACCTACCCGTGTAATAAACACCTGTTTACCCACTCAGATCTAGAGTTATTGTAAGGGTTGGTTGTTTACAGTGGTCCTACTGTCCAGCATAATTGGAACCCAAATCTCAAGAGTTAACCATGTATATATATCTTAAAAACAAAACCACTGGGGTACAGTAGATGTGTATTTTCTTACACGAGGATTGTGAAGGTGAAATTGTGTATTGTTTAACACATAGTGATAAACATTATGCTGGCTATGAGTGGGCAGTACAAGCAGGTTCACACGACAGATCATCCAGCATTCATCGTCAGTCGGTCGACTCATGCCATTATGTCAGTTGGTTCTAATATACATAGAGAATATAACATAAACGTGTTATATTGATTATACCAAACGACAGTTCATGACAACTTTATTTGCTTTCATACCATCACCGTATACTGCTGACTACATGGCTGCCTTTGGTTTGGTTGGTTGGTTGGTTTGTTGTTTAACGCCGCACTCAGCAATATTCCAGCTATATGACGGCGGTCTGTAAATATTCGAGTCTGGACCAGACAATCCAGTGATTAATATCATGAGCATCGATCCACGCAATTGGGATCGATGACATGCATCAACTAGGTCAGCGAGCCTGACCACTTACTGGTATGGAAGTCAGTGTTGTGTACCACTGAAGTCAGTGATATTAGATAATCTGACAACTGTCGTGCAGACCAATAATATGTATAGCATTAGCAACAGCCCACGCCCATCCCTCAACCAAACCACACACTATTTACCGCTCGAACTTTACTCGCCTCTTTGGTATAGTCTGTCCCCCCAGGCCCTGGTGAATTAATTGAGAAAGGAATCCAACTCAAGTCTTAAATAATTTGGCAAGTCTTAGATTGCCTCATCTCTAAATTAAGCATTGTTTTTGGCTCCATTTGGATTATATTTTGTATTTTTAAGACATTAATTTTGTTTCCATTTCTTGGAGTAAATGTTAGTCTCCGTATGGTGCTGTTGACTGATTCTCCCCGGAATTCCCACGGATTACGTCATGCCTATTCAGCTGCAGAATGTGAGTAATAGTGTGTGAGATTTCAGCAATATTGATAAAAATACCACGGGCGTTCCCAACATCTCAAGATCAATACCAAACCGGAATGTCCAATGTTAATCCAAAATAATTAATAATAAATAAAGTTACATCAAAATATTGTTTGCGTAAGGAAAGAAATTGTGACTTCTGTTACCTACAATTATTAGTAATTACATGGCTAAAACGAGGATCTGTATGGTACCAAACCCCTGAGTCTGAGTGGGGTATTATGTTAAACTGCAGGATGGTTTGTACGTCGCTACATTAGTGCATACTCTGGAATTCGACGTTTAACTCCTTTTCACCACACCTCTCCTCACTGACATTAGCTATTTTTGTTTTTATTTTTGTTTGCGTCACAAATTAAGGATTGATTTGAAATCTAACAGTTATGTATCATTCACATGGAGACGAGTTTTTTTTACAATATGAATATTTAATTTGCTCTGGGAATGAGTGAATATTCCTACTTAAAATAATAATAAGTTCAGGTGTGTTGTATATTGATGATTTCTTTGCCAAAATATGCCAATAGCTTACATTATTTGTTTTTTTGGTTTGTGTTTCCTAATATATATGCGTTGAATGGATGTTTGTATCCTAAAAGGTGATCTTATCGATTGAATTGTTGGTTTTACATTTAAAGGGAGACATATACAACTACAAACCCCCCCCACCCCACCCCCCCCCCAACCACACAACACTCAAACACCCACGTAGGGTGATCAGGGTCCCTCCCTTTCAAAAATGTTGTATCATCGTGATATAGCTGTTATATTGTTGACGCTAACTTTCAAATAATTTACTATAGCAGTAATATGTCAATGGCGTGAAGCTCGTTTGATCTCTCTCAATTACCCATGAGGCTTTTACCATCTTGAAACATTAAAAGTAAAAGGGCAACAGAAAACATCTTTCATTTCATCATCCGAGCACTTGTTTACAATCTTACAACTGCACGTGGCACGTGAAGGCCACATCATGGAGGTGTGTCCCTCTAATCCAATAAAATTGTCGTCCCCATGTCACATGACCGGTTCACGAGCAGACTAATCGGAGTGACACAGCGCACATTACGGAGCTGGGGAGAGTAGAGTTTGGTAGACCTCTTGTAGTTTGGTTGAATTCAACATGTCTTCCACAGGTAGTGCAATTGATACTGACTGCATAACGCTGACGCGTTTTGTGCTGGAATCGCAGAGACAGTTTCCTAAAGCGACAGGCGACCTGACCCAACTTATCAATGCCATTCTCACAGCTATCAAGGCCATTTCGTCAGCTGTGAGGAAAGCAGGGATTCATCACCTGTAAGTGTGTGACAGTGCTTACGTTTAGCAATACAGAATGAATTATTTAGTAATTCCGTTTGTAGTTTAATTGATATGAAGTTATTCTATGAGTAAAAGTAAACTCAAAATGGTGTCTTGTACGTCCTTCACCTTGGCTTTTGAACCACTGGTTTGCAAACTCGCTACTGCCTTGCCTGATAGTGATAACACGTTACTAGTGTGTGTAGGCATGTGGTGTTCGTTTGTTTGTTTTTTGTAAACGCCGCTCTCAGCAATATACCCTCTATTTGACGGTGTGTAAACTGAAATCCAGTCTGGACAAGACAATCCAGTGATCGATATTGTGAGCGACGATCCATGCAGTCGGGTCACAGAGACTGATCTTCCGATCCATTTCGTCTCCACTAGCGACCATCAGAGGTTGCTGGGGACCTATTGACCTGGTATCCCCACGCGGTCAGGTGGTGTTTGATGCAGTGATCTAAGCATACTACACGGGTATTGATAAGGATAGGCACGGTCAATGACACTGGAGCCAGGTGAATGACATATGGGACTGTGATTGTTAAAGGGCATGAGGCAGTCCTGCACCATGACCGTGGAATATATTTATTTTATTAAAAATAATAATCTAGAAATGCATACAAAAGCAAGTCTAGCCAGCTCAAGCTAGCTCTATTCTGAAATCAGCATAGGGAATTTTTATATATTTTTAGAGTCAAGAAGGATATTGTGTAATATAAGATTTCAGAGACTAAATGTTAGTCTAGGCATGAGTCAGTCCCAGCACATTTGATTCAATTCCCTCAATACCTTTGTCTGATTGTTCAAATTTATTACAGGGTGCGCACAGGGCTTGAATAATAGAGTTTGTCTTCAAAAAGGCCTTAAATTGCCATTTGTCGTCAAAAGGCCTTGAAAATAAACATGACTTGATTAAAAGGCCATTTCAAGCTAACAAATGTGCTGGTGAATGTCTGATAACGGATGTAATAATGATGCATGATAACAAGTTATTTATACCTCATAGGTGATTTTGCATACCTTGTTTGCATGAGTTCAACGGAATGAATGTGATTGCGATCTGGGATGAGTTTGCATCTTGTTTGTGTTATTTATTTGCCTCGTATTTGACTGAAAAAGCCTTGTATTTGTTGAAGACAACTCTGTACCAACCCTGTACAAGTTAATGTATATCAGTCAAGCAGTTAATGATTCACATGCTTATTACAACATCCAGGTATTACACCTGGCACATACTAAATCACAACAGTGTCCAGGCCGCAAATCATCTTCCGAGGCAAGGGAGTTAATTGACTTTGAAAGTCCAGTTTTCAAGCTTGCCGAACTAGCCTGGAATTTCTGGGCTCGATCGTAGCACCACCGGTGGCTATTATGTCCCTTATATGACCAATCAGATTCCACCTCTCATATCTCTTGCACTTGTTTCAAACGACATGGCGGCGCCCTTTTATCAAGAATAAATATCATTATTGTGATAAATACCTCGCGAAGTGCACCAAATCACGTGAGCACCTTGATTAAAAACATGAAAAGATTTGCAAAATACCTGCCGATGCCCAGTTGACGGTACATATACTCTGTAAATCATGCATTTGAACAAATTCGTTGATTGTTGATTTCGTAATTTTACTGTCACTGTTTTCACCGTCATCAGCACGTATTATTATGTACTAATGAACTTGCCACTAGAAGTCGTTGTCAGCTGAGAAAGGACACACACATATCCACTGTACTACTTGTCGTGGACTACCCACTACCCCTTTCTTCACAATATGGTACGTGCCAGTGGAGGAACTCCGTACATAGTCATGAGGGGTTAATTGTCAGGTCACAACTCAACTTATCCTGGCTTACCAGACGAACCGGACTTGTTTATTTATAGACCTCAATGATGTGACTGAAAGAGTGTAATTGGATGCATCAGTAACCGAAATGTCTGACACAATTTTCTGTTTTTAATTGTACACTGGTTGTTAAGGTGAACATTTGACTTGCCTTTGTATGTGTTTGTGATGGGTGCTACCGGTGGGGCAGGATATGCTCTCCATCGCCAGTGCTTCATTGACACATGCTTATGATATTATAACAGTGAGCAGAATGTTACAACGGACAAAAAATTCTCATGATTCTGGGTTTTTTTCACTTTTATTTCAAGCAGTCAGTGCAGATACTACCGGTAATTATTTATTACCTCAGAGACAATAACACAATAACATAAACAAATTCCAATATTTTGCACGATAGGATAAATTACTGATGACAACAAACGAGGTTCCAGGTGCTTGTGCATTCAAAGGGCGTTTGTTTATTATCATAATATAAGTTAGAATACAAATTAGATAGTTCTGCACAGGAGTATATATTGTTCACAGAAGCAATGCACTAATATTCTATGAATTTGTCCATGAACTTTGATCTCTTCACTTTAGGCCTGCTCAAAGCTCCAGATAAGCTTTTAGTGTTGTGGGTATTTTACCCATGCATTTTAAAATCATTGGGTATCAGTAATTCTATCTGGGTATTCAAATTTCTGTTACCCACTAGTTTTTACACATGTGGGTATTTAAGTTAAATATTTAAAAACACTATTCATGTAGTCCCTGCAATATTGTTGTGTGGGTTCGAGAGCTTTATAGGACTCAAAAATACCACGATACTTCCACAAGAAAGTGGGATGGCAAATGATCATGATGCAACTGTCATCGTGGAGTTTGGCAAGGTTGACGGAATGCCTGTTTATAATTTCAAAATAAGTTGCTGATTTTCTAATTGAATATGCAGGGTTACTTCACAATATTTTGATGAAATGCACAAGATTTATTTTTGTAGCGTATCTGTAATGTTTGTTGCGTATTTGATACGCTTGGATTTTATTTTACTGCATATTTCTGCATTTCTGATGCGTATTTTACGCAGATTCGCAGCTTATCTGGAGCTCTGCCTGCTGTTAAGTTCATTATAGATTCATCTGAATCTTCACAGAAACCGCAATGCACATAATGCTGAAATTCCAAGGTAGTCCTTTTTATAAAGCTGTTGAACCATTTGTCTCCCATTTATGCAGATTTTTTATGAATCATTGCTTGTGGCTTGTATGCAGTAGATGTCAAAATGTCCTACTTGTGTGGGAATCGGGTGACTCTCAGTTGGTGTGTTTCCCTTGTGTTGACCCAGGCAGTGATAATGTGATCTGACCTGTGCAGTGATTTTGTTTACTGAAGCTATCATGTTAGGAAAAGTCCTCAGAATACCTTGCTGAAAAGCTGAGTATTGCCTGGTATCTCGCGATACAAGTCGTATCATGATACGGACTGACAATACTACTGGTATCACGATACACCATACCAAATAGGAAGAAATGTTGAAATAAGCTCTAAAACCTCTTTCTTCATACATTTATTTATTGTTATCTCAAAAACTTTAACAAAGAAAACCACAAGAACCAGTCAGTTTTAAATGAAGAGATTGTCCTCAGCTACCATGTCCTTGTGTTCTGTCAAGCTTTCAGACCTTTACCACTTTGGTGAAACCAAAGAGCACGGGTATGGTTTTGACAAACCTAGAAACATAATTGGGGTGAAGTAGGATTGAAATGATGCAACTTGGCACAGTGAATTACAGCACCTTAGACATCTAGGCCCCTTTAAGAAGGGAACTTGCATTGTTTTGAAGAATGGAACTAAAAGTAGAAGCTAAGATAATGTACACTGATATCCAGCATTATATTTTTGTATTTGTGAAGAGACACGTGAAGATTCCGGGGTAGAATAGGTCTTCAGCAACCCATGCTTGACGTAAAAGGCGACTATGCTTGTCGTAAGAGGCGACTAATGGGATCGGGTGGTCAGGCTCACTGCCTTGGTAGATGCATGTCATCGATTCCCAATTGCGTGGATCGATGCTCATGATGTCAGTCACTGCATTTCTGGTCCAGACTCGATTATTTACAGACAGCTGCCATAAAGCTGGAGTATTACTGAGTGCGGCATTAAAAAACAAACCGACAACAAATATTTTTGAAGAACCGTCTCCATGGCGTAGTGAATAGGTGTCTGGGCGGGGAGGAAGGTCGGTGGTGGGTCATATCAACAGATGTTAAAGATGGTACTTCTTATTACCCTACCTGACCACCTCCGTGGTCTAGTGGTAGAGCGTCCGCCCGGGGAGCGGAAGGTCCAGGGTTCGATCCCGGGCCGCGTCATACAATAAGACGTTAAAAGATTGTACTTGTTGTTACCCTGTCTGGCGCTCGGCATTAAGGGGCTAAAACAAGGACTGGTCGGCTCGGAGTCAGTATACTGTGTCTGAGTGGGGTATTCATGTTCAACTGCGGCATGGTATCTCAGTGAGCTAGCACTATAAATCGGCATCAGTCCGGACTAGTACAAGCAGCCACACACACACATACACGTGCATGCATGTCGCTATATAAGTGCAATAATCTTGGACGCGACGTTAAACCCAATTTCACCTCACCTATTACCCTACCTAGGGTCCGTCGGGTAGCCTAGTGGTTTAAGCGTTCGCTCATCGCACCGAAGACCCAGGTTCGATTCCCGACATGAGTACAATGTGTGAAGCCCATTTCTGGTGTCATCCAATTTAAGGGGGATAAAACAAGGACTGCTCGGCTTGTTCAGTTTAATGTGTCTTAAACTGGGGCATGGTCTCATTTGGCTAGCACTATGGCATTAGTTTAAACTAGTACAAGCAGACACACGCACACGCTTGCACGCAGGCATGCATGCATGCATGTCACTATTTAAGTGAATTAATCTTGATCGCAGTGTGCTCATCACCTATTTCGAAAGGAATGGTTCCTAAAAATTAATATAGTGAAATAAAAGGACTTGGTTAGAACATGATAAATTGATTATGAAATTTCATCCCTGCCTTACATCATTTTATTGTCCTCAAATACGTGTCTACACTGTAAAATACATTATATAGGTATGGCCAAGCCAAATGCATGCTTCAGTTGACAGTTTGCGTAC